ACTTCCAAACTGTTTCATAGTGGGTATGTCATTTTCCATTCCTACCAACACATTACAAAAGTTGCACTTCTCCACATCCTTGCTAACAACTGTTATTTTCTATTTATAATACACATCCTGAAAGGTGATATCTAGTTTTGACTTGATTTCTGTTTCCCTGATACTTAGTGATGTTGAGCACTTTTCTTATGTATATTGATCAGTTCTGTGAAGAAATGATATTGAAGCTTTTTACAGATGTGAGAGTTGGACTATAAAGAAAGCTGAGCACTGGAGAATTGATGCTTTTGAACTGTGGTTTTGGAGAAGACTCTTGAGAGTCCCTTGGTCTGCATGGAGTTCCAACCAGTCCTGAATATTCATTGGAAGGACTGCTGTTGAAGCTGAAACTCCAATACTTTGGCCACCTGATGCAAAGAACTGACTCATTTAAAAAGACACTGATGCTGAGAAAGAATGAAGGAAGGAGGAGAGAGGATGACAGAGGATGAGATGGTTCGATGGCATCACCGACTCAATGGACAAGAGTTTGAGTAAACTCCAGGAGTTGGTGATGGACAGGGAGGCCTGGCATGCTGCGATTCATGGGGTCACAAAGAGTCAGGCATGAATGAACAACTGAACTGACTGAAATTTCAGTTATTTGCCTGCTGTTGTTTTGAAGTTGAGTGGTAGTAGTTTCTTTGACATTCTGGATGTAAGCCCCTTATTCAGATACACATTTTGAAGATACTTCCTCTCATTCTATAGTTGCTTGTTGTTGATTGTTGAGACTCTCCTTTCTTCACTTTTTAAATTTAGAACCTTGGCAAAGATCATTTGGCCACACATGTGTCAATTTACTTGCAATTCCCTTTTTATGGTTCACTGGTCTCTTCCTTCCTATTTTGTTGCTGGTACAACACTGTTTTGACTGTTGTGGCATTCTTATGTGGATTGAATTCAGGAAGCATTAAGGCCCCATTGTTCTTTGCTCTCAAGACTTTTTCTCTTTGAGTTTCTTTTAGGTTCCATAAGTATTAGTATTCTGGGTTTGTTTTTTTTTCCCCATTTGTATAAAGTTGAAATGAGATTTTGTGAGTGGTTTCAATATATATGTACATCACTTTTAGTTGTATAAGGTCAACAGCACTAAATATTCCAGTCTGTGAATATGCTATGCCATTCCATTTACTTGTGTCTTCTTTCTCTCAACAGTGTACAATGGTTTTCAGTGCCCAAATCTTGCACTTCCTAATGAGCCTCTTGCACTACCTTGTTTGAGTCATCTGAGTCAGGGATGGGAAAGACAGGCTCATGAAGAGAGGGAATGTCCTCTCTCCCCTCTGTGCCTACCCTCTGGTTACTTGTAGTACAGGTGTGCAGGGCCATGCCTTCACCTCTGCCTACAAGTGAGCCCCCTCTGGGAATTTTCTTTAAATCTGAGTGTTCACTTTACTATTGAAATGTCCACAAGCACTCTCCCAATGCCTGGCCTGTGTCCAAGAGCCCCAGGTATACCTACATATGACTGAGCATATGAGACCATCAAATCTTCTGCAGTAAACAAAAACCTGAACAGCAGCTCAGCGTCTTTTCCTTATCATTGGAGCTCTTAGAGCTGAATGTTCCAGTGGAGTAGCCACTACTCAGATCAGCCTATTTATAATGAATATACTTCAAACAATAATTAATGTGTTATATTTTTAAAAAGCCCCACAAAAACCACAGAATTACTTGGTCACACTAGTGATATTTCAGGTGTGTCCATAAATGTTGGAATTTCAGTTTCATAAGCTTGAATGTAAGAGCTATATTGAGCATGTGGAAAAGTAAGGTTGGGATTCTCTCAGGATCTCTATGTCATGTGAAATTTTGCAACTGTGATCAACATCTTGTTGAAAGGCTCTGACTCCGCCAAGCACAGGGAAGGTCTGTGAACCTGGAGGGAAGACCAGGGAGATGCTTTGTGAGCCAAGAGGAGGAGGAAAGATGGAAGGGTCAACTTGTATAATAACTGTATTATTGCTCATGGTTGTCTTTCTACAGAAATCTATGCTAGAGAGTCTTAGCAGCAGTGATGTAGAAGAGAATTAGATAGGACACAGGTCTCAGGGAGAGTAGGATTTAGAGGGAGAGGGTTCCTGAACCGCTCAGGTTATACCTGCTTCTTTGGAGATAAAACAGGTGAATATGAACTGAGGATTTAAATTGGAGGGAGAGAGTTTCTGGACCACTTGGGAGATAAAAGAAGGTGAATATAAACTGAAGAAGAAGGGAGTATGTGTAAGCTTGTGATTTGCTCCTCGTATTTTAATGAAATAATAAACTGTGTGTGCATGTGCTTTGTTGTGCTGCGCCTGTAGTCGTCTCTTGTTAGAGACATCTCTTCTTGCTTTCACGTTTAGAAGTGTCCTTTCTCACAAGACTCCTCTTTCTCTGTCCTTTCATTGACAAACATGACAGAATGGCTTATGGTTGGTGCCTTCAGAGTCTTACATACAAGGGACTTTGGGCATGTTTGAATTCTCCTATGATGGCCACATCCTAATGGGACCAAAAGCCTAATAGTTACTTGACACTGCAGGCCAAGCTCTTGCAGTGAGTGTCAGGTTCTGGGTGAGATATGAACTCGCTACCTCTGCATTTTCAGGACTCGTAGATTGCCCTCACGTCTGTCTTCATTGTTTATTGCTCATGTAAAGGGTGTTCTCGGGGTTGGATAAGTCAACGCACACAGGCTCTGGCGTCCCAGACTGGACTGAGTCTCCTGGAGCTCATCTCAGCTTCCAGCCCAAGGATGCTGTGCTGAAGGCGCCTTCACGTGAGAGCGGTCCATGCCCAGTTGCCCCTGGAGACCAGCAAGCCCCCAGACGCTTGACAATGTGAGGGAGCCGCAGGCTTTCCTAACACACTGGCTCTCACAGCCCTGCTGACCTGGCCTCCTGGGCCTGACCAGACGCTGGTCAGAGACTCAGAGCAGCGGGACCCAGGATCACTGTTCCACGTAGAACCCAATGCTCCATCTAGACAGCCCTGCCCCTGCTCCGCACACCCCAGTCCTGCCCACCCTGTTACCTTTACTCAAACTTTCCCAGGTTTGATTCCTCCCAGTCTTTCCAAGATTGGGGTAAACCCTGGCTGGTGCTGTGTGTATATGAGGCTTCCCTATCTGTAAAACCTTTGTGGCATCACTTCAGACTAAGACACTTTGGACATGTTACTTTAATTATAATATTGTGTTCATCCTCCCTAAGGGGCTAAGAGACTTAAGCAGTTATTTTGAGAACCAAGTTTCTCCCAGTTATCTAAAGTTAGCTCAGGCACAGAATACTTGTTCCCTGAAGTTGGTTGTGTATCCAGGCTGTTGTGGAAAGTGATGCAGTGAATTTAGGACTGCAGATATCTCTTTGTGATACTGATTTAATTTCCTTTGTATATATATCCAGAACTGTGTTTGCTGAATCATATGCTACTCCTTTCATACATTTATAAGGAAACTTTTACTGTTTTCCACAACATAGCCACACAATTTACATTCCCACCAGCAGTGTACAAAGGTTCTAGCTCCCCACATCATGGCCTTAACCTGTTAATTCTTTGCCTTTATAATATACAAACTAACAGGCATGAGGTGTTGATTTACTTTGCCCTGATGATTAGTGAGGTTGAAAACCTTTTCCTTTGTATGCTAGTCATTTGTCTGTCTTGTTCCCGAAATGTCTGTTTAAATCTTTGCACATTCCTCAACTGCCTTATTTACTCTTTTTAATATTGTATTTGTTTTGCATTTGAGCTGTAGTATTTTCTTATGAATTTTGAGGATGAGCTCCTTATCTGATACATGGCTTGTAATTTTTCTGTAGGTTATCTTTTCATCGTACTGATTTATTGAAGAGACTACCCTTTTCCTATTCCATTGTCTTAGAACCTTGATGAATTTCATTTGACCATGTATCCGTGACTTTTCTTGGAGCTCTGTATTCTGGTCTTTAGGGCTATGTATCTATTTCTATGTCAGTATCATACAGGTTTGATTCCTATATCTTTGTAATGTGTTTTGAAATCAGGAGGTGAGATATTTTGATCTTTGTTTTCAAGGTTATTTTGTCTATGTGGAGTCCTTAGCAGTTCCATATATATCTTTGGATTTGTTTTTCCCATTTCTATGAAAATGATGTTCATATTTTGATTGGTGTTGCAATGAATTTTTACTTAGCTTTGGGTACTATAGAAATGTCAACAGTACTAAGTCTCCAGTCTATGAGCATGATCTGTCAGTTCAATTCCTCGTGGCTTAGTTCATTCTCTCAGTGGGGTGTGTAGTGTTCAGTGTGCTGGTCGTTTCTCTCTGAAGACCCTGTGTCCCTCCCTCCCTGATCTCAGAGTCAGTGGTGGAGGTATGGGCTGGTGAGGAGATGCAGCGTCCCTCCCTCCGTCCTCACCTCTTCTCTGATGATGTTCAGCACAATTGCCCTGGGCCCTGTGTCCACACCTGTCCCCTCAAGTGGAACACCTGCTGGGAAATCCTCTAAGATCTAGGTATTGGCATTGCTGTTTCAGTGTCCCAAAGGCTCCTGAGTACGTGGGTTGTATTCACAAGCCCAGGAAATACCTACAAAAATGAATCATCAAATCAGGCCAGCCAAATACTCTGCAGAAGCTGTTGGGCTACATTTTGCAGGCCTGCAAGTGCTGTACTTTGCCTGGACTTGAGACCAAAAAAAGACTCCAGAGTTGACAGAGATATCAAAGGGTTAATAGATGGGACGTCTTACATATCTGAAGTAAATGGGTCCTGGAGATGAAAGGTTGTTGCTGAACCACAAAAAGACTCCGAGATTCTTGGCCTCTGGAGGAGAAGAATTCAATCCAGGGCCAGAGACAAGGCTTGATCCCTCAGAGCTTTTGTGTAATAAAGTTTAATTATAAAGGAGATAGAGAAAGTTTCTGACATAGGCATCAGAAGGGGGCAGAAAGAGTGCCCCCCTGTTAGTCTTTAGCTGGATGTTATATAGTCACTAGCAGTTTGTTAAGAAAGAAAGGAGGGTGTACGTGCAGAGCACGCAGAGCGAGTGGCGCCCACACGCCCTGCGCTGCTCCGCCGGCCGAGCCGTCCGCCCGGAATGCTGAGGCGGCGGCGGCCAAGGGGGCGGGTCTCGCGCGCCGGGCCCGCGTGCCCGAGCGGAGGGCGCCGTCCGCCGCGCAGGCCGCGCTCCCTCAGCCCGCGGCGGTGATGAGGCGCTGAGGCGGCGGCCGGCGCTGCGCGGCGCGACCGAAGGACGAGGACGCGGCCGGGCCGAGGGCGCGGGGCGCCGGTCTCCTGAGGCGAGGGGCGGCGGGCGCATGGCGCAGTGACGGCCCCTGCCGCTCCGCCCGCTCCCTGGCCCGAGGCTAGGCCGTCCGGCCGCCACCCCTCCTGCTCGGCCGCCGCCTCCCCCCCCCGCCGCCATGGCCAATGACAGCGGAGGGCCCGGTGGGCCGAGCCCGAGCGAGCGAGACCGGCAGTACTGCGAGCTGTGCGGGAAGATGGAGAACCTGCTGCGCTGTAGCCGCTGCCGCAGCTCCTTCTACTGCAGCAAGGAGCATCAGCGCCAGGACTGGAAGAAGCACAAGCTCGTGTGCCAGGTCGGCGAGAAGATTTCTGCCCCCGGCACGGGCCAACCGTTAAGCCGAGCCGCGCGCCGCCGCCCAGGGCCGCCGAAGCCAGGGAGGACAGGAAGGCGGTGCCGCGCCGGGACCGAGCCGTCGAGGCCGCGGGTCCGCGGGCCTCCGGAGACGCGGCCAAGGCCAAGGCGAAGGCCAAGCCTACGGCCGACCCCGCGGCAGCCGCGTCCCCGCCCCGCGCGGCCCCCCGGCAGCCAGGGTTGGTTAGCGGCGGCCGCCGAGGCGGAGTCCGCGGAGGAGCTGCTGGCCCGCCCGTCGCTGTACCAGGAGAAGGCGAACCTGTACCCGCTGAGTAACGCGCCGGGCGAGGGGCTGAGCCACGGCGGCCTGCGGCCCAATGGGCAGACGAAGCCGATGCCGGCACTGAAGCTGGCGCTGGAGTACATCGTGCCCTGCATGAACAAGCACGGCATCTGCGTGGTGGACGACTTCCTGGGCAAGGAGACCGGCCAGCAGATCGGCGACGAGGTGCGCGCCCTGCACGACACGGGCAAGTTCACGGACGGGCAGCTGGTCAGCCAGAAGAGCGACTCGTCCAAGGACATCCGAGGCGATAAGATCACCTGGATCGAGGGCAAGGAGCCCGGCTGCGAAACCATCGGGCTGCTCATGAACAACATGGACGTCCTGATCCGCCACTGTAACGGGAAGCTGGGCAACTACAAAATCAATGGCCGGACGAAAGCCATGGTTGCTTGCTCTCCTGGCAATGGAACAGGTTACGTACGTCATGTCGATAATCCAAATGGAGATGGAAGATGTGTGACATGTATATATTATCTTAATAAAGACTGGGATGCCAAGGTAAGTGGAGGTATACTTCGAATTTTTCCAGAAGGCAAAGCCCAGTTTGCTGACATTGAACCCAAATTTGATAGACTGCTGTTTTTCTGGTCTGACCGTCGCAACCCTCATGAAGTACAACCAGCATATGCTACAAGGTACGCAATAACTGTTTGGTATTTTGATGCAGATGAGAGAGCGCGAGCTAAAGTAAAATATCTAACAGGTGAAAAAGGTGTGAGGGTTGAACTCAATAAACCTTCTGATTCGATCAGTAAAGACGTCTTATAGAGCCTTTCATCCAGCAATACCCCACTTCACCTACAATACTTATTGATGCTACTTGTTAACTTGTGAATACAAATAAATGGGATAAAGAAAAATAGACAGCCAGTTGGCAGTTTAAGGAAACAGAAACAACTTTTTTGTGTTGCGTCAAAACAGAGATTTTGACTGTGTGGCTCTGTACTGCATGATCGACTCCAAACCTGTGATGGGAGGAATGTAAGTTATCAACTGAAAGTGGTGTTTACATCTGGACATGAAATAAGTGCCCTAGGCAGAATTGTTTTCATTCTTATATTTTGCCAGATCTGTCATCTAGCTGAATTCATTTCATCTCTCCCTTTTTTATATAGTCAAGTTTGAATTTGAAATAATTTTTGTATACTCAGGTACAATTTATCAAAACTGAATTGAGAAAACATTACAGTATTATTTCCCAAAATAGTATCAATCTATTTTTGTAAACCTCTTCGTACTATTAAATTTTGCCCTGAAAAGCCTCTTAAAAAAAAAAGAAAGAAAAGAAAAGAAAGAAAGGAATGTCTTAAAACTCAGAATGGCACCAGGCCCCTCATCCATAAGATGTATTTTGGGATAATCTTGGCACCGGAAGAGTCATCCCAGGCCATAAAATGATTGACTTGAATCCTGTAGACAGGCAGATTACCATACAAATAGTTTCGTTTACATAGATTAGGGGAACAATGTCTGAATATAACATAATGGTTTGTCAAGTAGGTTCTGAACCATTAGGCAGAATGGACTTCAAGACAGAGTCTGGGGTAAAGGCATAGCACATTAACATAGCTTAAGACAAACATTTCCATAAGAAGAGTGCATTGGTTAACTCAAGGTTTGAGAATAGTTAACTTCAAGTGGAACCAGGTGTCATTATGGCAACACAGTATTTTAAGAGAAATCTCCTTTTAAATTTGTATAGAAAAGGGGGGGGGGAAAGCATCATTCCTGCCGCTTAAGAGAGAGATAAAAATGTCTGACACTTGAAGCCTATTTCCTCTGTTTGGAGACCCCTGGCCTTTCTGCCTGTTACCCTCTCAGAGAGACACCCACTGTGGATAGCAGGGGACAGGCAGAAGACAGCAGCTATAGTTTTCTTTACTCTGAGGGGATAAGGAGTCTACCAGTTACAGTGGGAATGAACAGCAGATTGGCCCATTGATTACCTTGGAAACCAGAAAAGGGCCACATCTCTCTTAGCCCCTCAGGCTAAATGCTCTCATGCGTCAGAGGTCTTTTCTTTGTTAATTTAACAGCAAACAGTCATCTTGAAATGGCCAGAAAACACAAAGGAAATAACAAGAGAGGGGTGTTAACACCCTGTATATATCCATGCATACTCAGTCACTTAGTTATGACCCCACTGTTTGTGACCCCATGGACTATATCCCACCAGGCTCCTCTGTCCATGCTATTTTCCAGGCAAGAATATTGAACTGGATTGTCATTTCCTCCTCCAAAGTATCTTCCCAACCCAGAGATTGAACCCACGTCTCCTGCATTGGCAGGCAAATTCTTTACCACTAAGCCACCTGGGAAACACCTTCACTTGTACCAAAGTTCCTGTTCTGCCGTCATCTGTCAGAATCGGCAGGACTCGTGGTGATGATCTGAAGATTCATTCAGTCTTTCCTGGTGACTCAGACAATAAAGAATTCACCTGCAATCCAGAAGACCTGGGTTAGAACCCTGAGTCAGGAGGATCCCCTGAAGAAGTAAGTGACTAACCACTTCAGTACTCTTGCCTGGAGAATTCCATGACAGACGGCCCTGGCAGGCTAGTCCCTGGGCTCACAAAGTGCTGAAATCGACTGCATGAGTTATCCGCACACATATATAAACATATATAGTGGCTTTTGTGTATTATAGTTGGTAGGCACTAGCGAGTTGTGACTGCTATAATTTACTTAAAGGCATGTTATACGTGTGTCAAAACACTTGTGATTTCAGGATGGTTAGCATGAAGGTGAGAGCTCTAGTGGAAATGTAGAAGTGAGAGGTTGAGAATTGACTTTTTCAGCATTTCTATCTTTAGGTTTGCAACTGATATCAGTGACTTACTGAATGACTGTGACTGCACAGAGCACAGATGACTGCCATCTGCTATCCACAGTGGGGTGTCTCTTCAGGACCTTGGGAAAAAGGTCAAGGTGATGCTGTGAGATCCAGCAGGCCTCAATTGGAGGATATGTGGGTGGGTTGCTCATTCTAACCACCTTTTTGCTCATGGAGTGTACTGTGGAGGGCATTTGGTGCAGTGATGAGAAAGGGGAGACAGGTAGCTAACAAGATTCCATTGGGATCTGATGGGAGAGGGTTCTGGAAGTTAAACCCTCTGTTAACCCCAGAGTTAAACTCTCTGTTTGGTGGCTAAGAAAAGTGAACATGAAATTAAGAAGAAGGAAATGTGTATAGAATTCTGACTTATTCTTTACATATGAAATGATATGATAGAGAAATTGTGTCCTGGACTTGCATTGTGCTCTATTTCTAATCAGCTTTTGTTGCTTTACTCTTCAAAAATTATTTTTCCTATAAGAGCTGCTCGTTTCTGCTTTTTTACTAATATGGAAACCTGGTCTCTGGTCAGCACATCTCGGGTATTGTGCACTGCAGGCTGTTTTCTATTGCATGTTGAACTATGAGGACCATATCCTAGTGGGCACAAACCTCTCATTGTCAGTTGACACTGGAGACCACGTCCTTGCAGTGCCTGTGAGGTGGTGGGTGCGATGTGAACTCTCTCCTCCTGCACTTTCAGGACTTGTGACTTCCCCTCATGTTTGTCCTCACTGTTAATTCCTCGTGTAAAGGGCGCTGCCGGGGGTGGATGAGTCACAGCACACAGGCTCTGGGGTCCCTGCCCGGGCTCGGTCTCCTGGGGCTCTTCACAGCCTCTGCAGCAGCCAAGGCTGATGTGCTGAAGGTGCTTCCGGGAGAGAGGTCCATGTCCTGCTGCTCCTGGAGACCCTCCACATCTGCAGATTCTAGAGTCTGTGAAGGGCCCACGGGGCTTCTTCACACACTTGCTTTCACAGCCCTGCTGACCTGGTCTCCTAGGATTGAGCATTCCCAGGGCAGCAGGTCCTGGGTCACTGCTACTCTCAGAACCCACTGCTGCATCCAGACAGTCTTGCCCCTTCTCCCCAACCCAGGCCTGCCCCATCCTCTCTCCTTTCCTTACACCTTCCCAAGTCTCATCCCTCCCAATTTTCCAAGTCTCAGTGCAAACCCGGCAGCTACCACATGTTTATGGAGGACCCTTGTCACATTATTCTGACTAAATGAAATTGGAAGTGTTTGCCTCTATCCTTTCTAAGGGTCTGTGAAACTTGAGGTGTTGCTGTGAGCATTAAGCATCTCCCAGGTAACTCAGGTCACCCCAGGCAACGGGAGAGTCTCTGTTATGTGGAATTTTTGTCCTTCCCTCCCCCAGGGCTCAACACACTCTCAAGTCCATGCCAGCTCCTCCCTTGGAGAAATGTATTGGTTAATTGAGTAATGGACTGATTGGAGACAGTGGCCATACACCGATGTTCCTCCTTCTAATGTGTCCACATTGCAAACTCTAGGGTTGCTAGAGGTTGAAGGAGGA